CATTGAATTGTAATTCAATATGAACACCTTTGCAATATGGAGTTATTTCTTGTAACATTTCATTTTCATACAGTTACAATAATTTTTGACGATGAATTCAACATGTGTAAGGCAGGTATTGCTTCAGAAAAATTGATGTAATTGTAATAAGGTATCATAAAAATTGAACCGAATTAAACCAAAGATTTGGACAAATTAAAAATAAATTAAAATTAATTTCACAAAGTTGGCAAGCCCTTTTACTATTTAATGTATTTTTAATTAAATTTGTGTACAACTAAATTTTAAATAATCCATTATTTATCAAACATAATGGAAATTTTAACCATTTTAAATACGGTGAATTTTATATCCCTAGTCCAAAAATTGTACATTAAATAGTAAAACGGCTTGCCATATATTTGTGTAGGACCTTTTAACACATTAATGTTTGTTAAATCTTTTGAAATTTTAAGATTTTAATTATTATAATTTTTGTATCAATATCATTTATGTTATAAACACTATAGGAAGTTTATGAAAATTTTTACATTTTTATTTAACACGCATTATTTTTAACACACATTTTATAAATTTTTAACTGTGTCTTCCCTTAAAATTGTTCTAAAACTGCTTTAGAGGTAACTGGTTTAGAACTGTAAAAACTGTCTTAAGCTGTTCTTCACCCAAATCCGTCGAATCCAAAACATTATTTGTTCTTATTAAAATGCACTTCACATCAAAAATACAACAACAAAAACACTCGGGTAATTTCTGCAATAATTCAAGCATTTAACATCATCAGATTCTGGTCTTTGAAGTTTTACTTTGCCGCTTTAAATTTAATTAGTCAGCTCCGTTGTTGTTGCGTTTCTTACACAGAATAATTAATAACCATTTTATAAGTAGGTATTACTGCTAAAAATCTCGAGTTTCTCGAATAAAATTTAACAATTCTTTTACTGGAATGCAATAGAAAATATAATAGAATGGTTTGAAATTTCTTGTAAGAACCTTAGAAATATATATAGACTCTGCAAGTCGAAACAATTGTAATGGGAACGATATAGCCTATCATATAGGGGGCAGTTAATTTTTAACATTTGGTACTTTAAATTTGTATGCTTTACGAAAATATTATATTAAATTTTAAATATTTGTTTTGCTCTCTTTATTATGTTTATTATGCTATTTTAATTTATGAGTATCATCTGGATGACCACTTGAGAGTTCGTTACAGAAAGACCAAATAAGCAAGTTTTGGTACAGTTCCTAGTCTTAAATACAGTACTCTCTAAAAATGAATTAGTCAAAAATGAATAATTTAATAGTTATTTTCTGCTTTTTCACTTGTACCATGGTTAACCATGGAATACCATGATATCCCAAAATTTAACAGCCAATTTTAATGTAAAATTGTCTCCTGAATCTGAAAATGTTATCAAAAGTTAAAAAAGTAGAACTGTTTTTGAGATATACACGTATAGTAAATTTTAGATATTAAAAAAATATAGTAAAATTTACTTAAACAAATTTTTAGGGTAACAATATTATATATTCGTGAATACAATATTAAGATTGTAATACAAAATACTATTTTTATTATACAATTTTAGTAAAGACAGGGCCATATTACCCATTAGGCGGGCAAGGCTATTGCCTTAGGCGCCACGAAGAAATAGGCGCATTGTCCCCAACCCACTAAAAATTCTCAAAAATAAAAAAAAATAACATTATACAATTGAATAGGTCAATGCAGAAACTGAATATGTCCACTTTTTAGGGCTATTGAGTTAAACATGGATTTACTATAAGTAAAGGGAGCCCGATCGAATGGCGTAGAAATTTCACATGTCACGGTAATCTAGAATATACAAAGGCGTTAATATAGTAGAGAAACTGAATATGTCCAGAACATATGTCCACTTTCTGTTCAGTTTTTCTTATTTATCTCAAAACTAGATAGGTAGGACATATTCAGTTTCTGCATTGACGTATTCAATTATGAAAATAATATATTCTTTACTGTTTTCATTATTTTATAAAAATGTGGCGTGCTTTGTAATAACGCGGTGTAAAGCCGACAAAAGACAAAAGCTTGCCGCAAATTCACTTTTTCAAGGTGTTTTTTAATATTTGGTAGTTTTTGGTTTAGTTTACCCTTTTTTAACTACTTTTTAACTACAAAGGGTCGGTTTATCAATATCTGGTTTAGTTCCAGTTAGTCTATCTGACAGTTAAATTCCATATCGATCGTTGTGAGAACAATGGTATCCATGGAGATTATCTGCCAGATAACTAACTGCAACTTTAACTGGACATTGATAAACCGGCCCTAAGTCAACTTAAACTTTACCTAATTAACCAGTTTAAGTTTATTTTAACTATATAATTATTATTTACCAAATATGGTTATGTACTCTTGAAATAAAATAGTCAAAATTCTATTATTTGAATTAGTATACTATTATTCTATTATTTGAATTAGTATTAGCATTGTTTACTACTAAAATAGTCGTTTTCACTTTTAAATAGTTATTTTTTACTACTTAAATGGTTAAAGTTTAAATAATTTAAGATCTTTTACTGTTTCTAAGAGGAATAAGTAACTAATTTCTTTAATCGTTTTTAATTCTTGCGGCCAACAACAAATTATTGTTAGCGTTAAATGCATATAGGCTCCATGGTTAAATGGCCCATAAAAACAAAGATGCTAAAAGTTTAGCTCCAAACAGCAACACAAAAAATATATTCAACTTTTATATATTATTAACAATATTGATTGACAGATATAACAAAGTTTTAAAAAAGTAGCAGTGGTGCAGCTTTTGGACATCCGTTTGACAAGTTAGAGAGCCGATTTCAAACCTCAGCTGGGTCAAAACTTCACAAATTTACAAATTTGACTGTTTCAGTCGGTATAATTTGACTAATTATTAGTGACTGCTGTCGCTATGACAATAAGTCAAATATGACTTATAATTAGTCATTTTTGACTTTTTCAAGAGAATATATATATATATATATATATATATATATATATATATATATATATATATATATATATATATCTATACATATTACTTATAGACTAAACCAAAATATGTCTAAAAAAATAACTACTCTTAACCATCAGAAGTTAGAAGTTAATATAACTTTATGTAACTTCTAAAATAACCTAATTTTTAACCTATAAATTAGTTTGTAATGTTACCAAGGTTAGTAAGCCCGGGCGCCCTTAAGATAACAGATTGGAGTGTCTCTGATAAGCTTTTCTAAAATTTGCCCTGGGCCCCGTAAGTATAGTATCTAGTAATAGGCGCCAAATTTTAAGTTCCTAGGGCGCAGAATTGCCTTAAGCCGGCCTTGAGTAAAGATTACAACACCAATATAACTAAATCATAAATGTATAATATATATTTTAATTTTTAATATGTTCGTATAGTAAATTGGTTTTACTATCTACAAATAGTAATATTTACTATATGATTTAATCAAATGTAATGTGTATATCTAATATTATAATATAATACACATTAATAAAAAATAATATACAATATAGTAACTCATGACATTTTAAACCTTCAATTTTTTTAGTTTCTTCAATAAACTTTCTTGACCCATTACTGATAATACTTATAAGAAAGAATTAAACCTACTTGATTGCATAGTATGTACCGATTGCGGCAAAGGCCACGTCGCGACGCGTCGTTATACGGTGTGGATCACGTGATGTTCTTACATCTCGCCTCTGTTGGCTTACCAACCATGTTTTATAAGCTCAGGTATTTCTTTGTTTTGGGTGTGTTCCACTACTACAAATTGATCAACATTGTCGTGTCGACACTGATGATACCCAATATAGGTCAAAACACCTGTCTGTCGGTATTTGAAGTTGATGGAACGCACTCAAAACAAAAAACTTTGGCGAGGTGTAGGTTCAATTCTTTCTCATAACATTTTTGTATATTAAAAAGTAAAATAAATATGTTACAATTTTTAATTGTTAACATATAAAAATATTCGATTTTAAAATATTTTATATTTAAAATGGCAACATAATATTTTAAAATTTACTATACTTATTAGTAATGAAAAATCTAATTATAATAAGAATTAAAAACAAAATTGGTTGAGAATAATAATAATTTACCTTAAGGTTTAACATACACGGATATTACTAAATATGCATAGTATCTGGCAATATACAAGATAGTAATATAAATTATAGTAAAGGGTATTATAATTATGGTAATCAGCATTATACTTTTCTCTCCGAGTAGTCAATTTTCGATTTAATATGGAATTGACTATATCTCAAAAACTGCTTCACTTTCATAATTTTTGATGGTATATTCGGATTCAGGGGACAATTTTACATAAGAATTGGTTGATAAATTTTCGCATACCATGGTATTCCATGGTTAACCATGGTACAAGTGAAAAAGCAGCCATTATAATAACTATTAAATTAGTCATTTTTGAATAATTCATTTTTAGAGAGTAGAGAGTTAGAGTTGGCTGTTTGAAGAGAATAGTTGAATTCTTTAATTGTTGTAAGGGAGTGAATTTAACTCTTAAATAACCAAATTCAATGTTTAAATATAAAAATCCTAGTGTAAATAAAACTTTAAAATGATTATTAACAATCAAAAAAATATATTTTCAAAATGATTAAGCATTTAAGTTTTTTTAATATGTTAGTAAATTTGTGACCCAGGGGACCATTTTAAGGGCCTATTTAAAAAAATCCAACTGCCCACTTTTAGTTGTTAAATAACACCATTAAATAAACAAAATTTGGAATAAAACAGGATTGTAGATTAAGTTTCTGTTTTTACTTTTTTCTTCTTTAAATGTACAAGAATTTTGAAATTGACCCATGTACTAAGAATTAAAATTTAAAAAATCATAATATTTTAATAGTCTAATACAAGACATACTGTATAAATCAAATTAAAATAAAACCAAATAAATGAAATAAGCAAAAAACTCAGTTTTTTATTTCAGCGTGTCAACATGTGCAATTTCACCTTGTTAATGTGTTTGTGCGTCTTGTGTCTATGTCTGGTGAGTTTCCCATCTCCGAAAAAAACGCAATTCACCCAATTTATTTCAGATTTGTTTGTGAAAATGTCCTTGTGTAACTACCAGCCGACGAACGTAAACATTTTGATGGTGGGCGAGATAGCCAGTGGAAAGTCCACTCTAATAAACGCTCTAGCGAACTATTTATCGTTCAGAGATTTCAATTTGGCTTTGAAACTGCGTAGGCCGGTCATATTGGCGCCTACTGCATACAATGTGGCGGACAGGATGGGCACTCGGTTCGTGGTAACCGCCGGGAATGTACTGAATCCTTTTGTCACGCATAAAGGCGTATCTGCAACTCAGGATTTCAGAACGTATTCTTTCCAAATTTGGAACGGCTTGGTTACGATCAGAATAATTGATACGCCTGGTTTGGGCGATTTCAGAGGCCCAGCAGAAGACAATAAAACCATCGAGAACATCCTAAACTACATCGGAAAACGCTTTGAGCTGCACGCAATTTGTTTCGTCCTTAAACCTCTAACCAAACCGTTACACCCCTCCATGTTGAACTACATGAAGGCACTTATCCTGAACTTAAATCCGAAAGTAACCAGCAACTTCGTGTTCGCTTTCACTCACACGAGAGAGTCGTTTTACAGTATGGGTCATTCCGAGGGTTTCATGAGCGAAGCGTTCGACTTGTTGGAGAAGTGGTTCCCCGGTGCTAAGGTGCCTTTCAGGGATAACGTTTTTTGTTTCGAGAATGAGCCGTTTATACAGCTGATCACCAACAAGAATTATATTGTGTTGAGGGATGAAGTCGGGCAGTTGAATTCAGAGAGTTGGACTATTTCCTGCAATCAGGCTTGGAAGTAAGTAAAGTTTGTTTTTTATTTTAAAATTATTCATCAAATGTTTCCTAATTTTTTAATGAAGCAATTTTAATGGTTTGCATTAACTAACACTAACGTGTTTAACACAAAAAAACTGTAAATATTTCAAAATTAAAAACAAGATCATTTTAAGGTTACAATTTACTAATGAAAATAATACATCGCTATTTATAGTGCGATGTTTGAATTTTATTTATATTTAGGTGAATAGCATATTACTAAATATATTTTAACATAATCAAATACTAAATTAAAAAATCTTTTGATTGATGTTACTATTCCTTATACCTAAAGTTAATAATTTCAAAGATATTTGACAATTTCTACAATTCTAAATAATGCTAAAAATAAAAATAGCAGTCAGTGACTGAAAATTAAAAAGTAATACAAATAGTATTTGGTAATTTTAATAAAAAAATCAATTAAATTTTAAAAACATACAGGGTATTACATTTAAAATAAAAAAGTTATTACCCTTTCAAGTCAGCCTAATTTGCCCTGTGTTTTCTCAGGTAATTTGTTGAAGAATGTTAAAGAATTTACAAAGAATATTTTAAACAATGTTTTAAGATTCCAAAAAGTCCACCCCCATATTCGCAAACCTAATAACAAAAAAGTTATAGGGTATTTTTGATTGACGCGCATTTCTCAAATTTAACGAAAAAAATTAATAATTCGAAAACTATTCACTTTGGTGTAGGACATGGTATGGTAGGCGCAGGTCATGATTTTCTTTTTCTATGAAACTTAAATATGTTGTTTTTTGGTCAAAATAATAAGACACGTATTTTTTTGCCGGAAAAAAATTTTTTTGTTGATTTTAGGCGATTTATTTTTTGCGGTAAAAATCGATTTTTTCCGTTGACCGAAAATGCGTATAACTTGTTCAAAAATTGACTGATTTTGATAATTTTATTAATTTTTTTTAAGTAGGAACGATTTTGTAGCCAAATTTAAAATGCGCAATAATTACTATTTACAACAAATTTTTTGTCAAGTTATCCGTGAAACAAACATTGAAATAAAATTAAAGCTATAGTAACATGGTATAAATATTCTTCTGCTTAGTTTTATAAATAAAAATAAATAAAAAACAAAAATCGTCATAACTTTGTTTTAACCGTGAATTTAAAAAAAAATAAACACACATTTTTTAACATTTTCATTCACTTTGTGATTTTCTATCCTACTAGATTTTAAGTTATCACCATCATCTTTTGTTTTTCCTATGGTTAAAAACATTGACGGTTACTCAAAATATAGAAGCAAAGAAATTGGATAAAAATATAGATAAATGTACATATTGTAAAGATTTCTCCTTACACCAGGTTCGTTAAAACAAGTTTTATAAAAAATTAATAAATGAACTATTTTGTGACTATGGCTAGTGATCGTCTTATCAAAATTTGGACCTCTACGTTGTGGTTACTTGTTACTTGTTTTATTAAATACATTGCTTTAAGAATCATACTTGGGAAAATTAGGTATACAAAAAAATAAAATACAGTGTTTTGTTTACCCCAATTTAATTTACTTTACAAACAGTTAAAAAAACAAGGGGTGGCTCTTAGGGAGATACGACCAGGGAAAAAGAGCTTGAGAAAAAACCCTGTTCGGCTATGAAGTAGCAAAGGATTACACGATTAGGCATTGTTTCTTTAAAAGTTTATGCAAATCAATGGAATGACACGACGCTCGTTACACTATCTACCCCTACAGGTTAAAAAAAAATAGGAAAAACTTTGTTAGTTTAACAGGGCAGTTAACTGTTAGTCTGTCAACGTTAACGTTGCCCTGTGGAGAACGAGGTCCGCACTGGAAACAACTCGCGTAAAGATGCAGTTTCGGGATAAAAGTTGCGATGCCACCTAGAGAACCTAGGTGACCAGTTATCCCTCACGGAGGAGAGTATTTTAGTATCTACTGCAAACTACGTACTAAAGAAAAAGGAGCATTCAAAGTTTAAAATTAACGGTCAATACTCCCTTTTAAGCAACGAAACGTCCTGTATTACACTGATATTTGTTTTAAAATTACCGCAAAAAATGCATAATCGTGTTGAGGGAGGGTCTAAATATTTGAGTAGTATACAACTAAATTAAGCCTAAGACAATAAAAGAAAGGAATATAAATTTTTACATTTAGCAGTAAACTTAAAAGGTAAAAACATTCTATAAAAATAGCTAAAACAAAAGGTGTTAATATCGAATAAAATTCGCTAAACGTAGTAGTGCAAAATAACTAATGCTCAGTTTATTTAAATCAAAATCGTTCTACGTTTAGTGGACTTTACTACAGAATTGGGCTACTAAAATTAAGAACTAACCTGGGAGACCACAAACACTCGTAACAATTGTTTACACAGAATTTTACAATAATTATGGTTTTAGCAAAGATTCACGAAGACGATGCGTTCTCTAACACTTCGGAAAACTTTCTGCCCCTTTCTTTGCTTCCCTCTCCCAGTTTCGATGTTGTTTTCGCCTCATCTGGCCAACAGATTTTTTCCCATTGCAGGCAAAATTTCGGTCTTCCACGAAACTTTGTAATTTCTTTACCTAAACGTCCGTTTTTTTACCTATTTTGCAAAGATTTTTACATTTTACAACACAATTTAGAAATTCCAAACTTATTTAAAAATAAATTTGCAAAACGTATTAAAGTACTGAACCATTACAATATGTATGTATATGTTTACATGTAAAACTTTTTTTTTAATTCCCAGGAATAACAAAGTTATAACAATTTTTGATTTCGACAGGGTTTTTTTTTAATATTTTAAGAACCGCCATTTTTTTCAATTTTCATTTTAATAGGCTTGTAATGCAACTTTTCTCTAATATAACCGACCTTGTAGCTTTTTAAATGAAACAATAGCCAAGTATACACAATTTGTATACTATAATATAGAAGGATGTATAACACCCTGTATAAAAATATATATTTTTTTAAATATTTTGTAACGGCAGTTTTTATAACAAATGTCTATATATTTTTAAAACTTTTTTTACATCTTTTTTTAATGTCTTTTAGTTTGTGTAGTTTTTAATAAGGGGCCGTTCACATATTACGTCACGCTTTAGGGGGTCAAGGTCAGACGATTTGTGACGAAATGTGACGTCACGTTAGACTTCAAATAATTATTCAAATTGTCGTAATGTTGAGAATTTGTTACGTCAAAAAAAGTAATATGTGAACAGCCCCTAATAACTAAATTAAAAACCTAGTTTACAAAATCGAAAAAAAATTCTGCCCACCATATCCCATTATAATTTTCCCATGTATTTTGACCCACTAAACACGAAAATCAACCTCAATTTCTTTTATGGAAGCGATTTTAAAATAAATTTTCAATTTGTTTTTTTTTTCAATTTTCGGAGGTGTTTTGACGTTTTTGAGTATAGCTTAAAATCTAATTAATCGATTTGGTCAAACAAGCCCTTAAATTGAAGGTATTTGAGCCCTCTAAAACTTTCTTTTACATACTTTTGACATCGGACAAGTATTTTGACGCTAGCGATTTTAATAACTTAAAAAATTCGTTTTTATGGCAAGAATTGAGGTCGAAAATTTACATAACGACCTGGGAAAGGATTAAATCAAACAGATAACTCCAGTTTGAGTTTTTTTTCGTGAAGCTGACATTTTTACAAAAAAAAACAAGCTAATGTTGATAAAAATACATAAAAAAATGGCAAGGTAATGAATTTTTCAGTGGAACCAAAATTCTGCTTTTTGACCATTTTTATTTTTCTTTTATTTTGTAATACGTTTATTCTTTGATAAAAACCTAAATAAAGTGCATGATTGGAATTTTTTGAGTTTTTTACGTACTTTTTTCACCGAAAACATTATTCAAAATTTAAATTTGACATGACTCCGCAAACGTGAATTCTTTTGTTTCTCGTGTTGGCATAGTGACATTTTACTAATATTTTTTGATACTTCAACAAGGTATTTTTATCATGGTTTTATTTAATTAATAAAAAGTGTAAAATTTCACGCTCAATTACCTTTGATTTAAGTGCTTCTTTGGTCAAATCCATCAATTAGAACTCGAAGTATATTAATCTAAAACGTCAAAACACCTCAGAAAATTAAAAAAAAAAACAATTGAAAATTAATATTTCGAAAACGCTTCCATGAGATTTTCGCGTTTAGTGAGCCAAACTAGTGTTATTATTCATTTCTTTATGGTTTGTCAAAATCCTTCCTATTAATTTTTTAGTTTTTAACAAAATTTTTATTTTTAGGTTTATACACTACATCGTAGGCAATTACGCCACAGCCCCACTAACACCTTTCGAAATGCTCGAAAAAACGACCATCAACGACGTCCGACGAATCCTCAACATCCTCACTCAACCCTTAGTTGACAACGCACAATACCTGATAATAAACATAGCTCTACTGCTATCCCACCGGATCAAATTAACGAAAGAAAAACTGGACGTCAAAGAAGCCAGACCCTTGTTCGAGGTACCAACCATTAAAATGAAAATGGACAGCACGGTATATCCAGTCGTGCTGTGCGCCAGCTTGGACTGCGTCAGCAAGATTCAGGTAAGAAATATTTCCCTTCTTCCTAAAGTGAATTTATTCATTATGCCATCACAAGCATTAAAATATTAAGCATTCTATCGGTTAAAGTTAATACACAGTAAAAAAATTTTGTTAATTTTAACCAAGTATTATTTTATAGATAAAGAGCATTTTTTTAACAAAAAGCATTTTTTTTAACAGAAAGCATTTTTATTGATCAAAAAGCAATTTATTGAACAAAATAAACATTTTTATTGAACAAAAATATTAAATAATCAATTTTGTATACCGGCATCATCATCGTATTAGTGTTTGGCCAGGATGTTACATGGTGGTAAAACTCTAGATCTTCTCCCTTGATGTACTTCATTATATTTTTTATTTTATTTATTTTCTTTTCATTACATGGTGTTCCAGTTTTTTTTTTCTTTGACAATTTTTCCAGATGTAGACATACGAGGTGTGTTCAGAAAATATCGGGAATTTTCGTTTTTTGAAACAAATATTTATTTATTTGTCTACATTAATGTTGTCTCCTTCAAAATAGTCCCCATTGGATATTATGCACATGTGCAAGCTCTTCTTCCAATACTCGAAACACTTCTAAAACTCGATCTTTGGGATAGCCTTTAGTTCTTTCAGCGATGCGCTTTTAATGTCATCTATGCTTGCAAAACGACGACCCTTTAAGGTTCTCTTTATTTTTGGGAATAGGAAAAAGTCAGACAGAGGCATTTCTGGCGATTATGGAGCTGAGGCATCATTACAGTATTGTTTTTGGCCAAAAATTTTGTTCAAAATTTAACAATTTTAGAACAAATTTTGCTGCCACGCGTTTCATACCCAAAACATTCAAAAAAATTTCATGGGATGAGCCAATCGATATACCAACATCATCAGCGACTTCTGATGGTTTATAACCATTTCTTCCACTTTTTTCATGTTTTTATCGGTTGTTAATGTGTTTGTGCGTTCGCAGCGTTCGTCATCTTCAACGTCTTCATGGCCATCTTGGAAACTCTTATACCACTTGTAAACTCTTGTTTTACTTATAGCAGAATTACTATATGCCTTTATTAACATTTCACAGAATTTATTTCATTTTTTAAGCAAAATTGTTTGATCCATTTATTTTAACAAACGAAAAATCGCCACAGACAACGTAAACAATAAAAAGAGCTAAAGTTTTTATCATACTTCGGAGGCATGTATACATTTCCGTTATTTTCTGAACACACCTCGTATAACTCACCACGCTGACTTGCAAACTTTCTATTATTAATTTTTCATCGTTCTGGATTTTTCCTACGTCTTGTGTCATTTTCGCTACTATCAGATAATAACATTGTTGTATTTTACAATTAAGCAGCATAAAATACCAACTGAGCATGACCACCTTAAACTTTTAGTAGGTATATAATGTCCATAATCAACAACAACATTTATTGGGAATAAGAACAGTACAAGTCCAGGAGTTGTACTGTTTTTATTCTCAATGCTTCACAGTTAGCTCTGACAAACACCTTAACAAGCCGATTTTAAAAATTTTCTTCTACTTCTTCGATGCTGCTTCGAATTTAAAACAAAATGGCTATTTCAGATGAAAATGTCAAATTTTGGACTTTTACTGTTCTTATTCTCACCGATTCAATTATAACAAACATTTTGTACAAAAATCCTGTCAATAATTCAACCATTCTACAATTCTTGTAATTTTAAAAAAGGACCTTATTTTTACACACCTTTTTGTAGACCCAGAAAAAAAGTATTTATTGGAAATTGGGAACTTAAACAAAAAGAATTTTGATAATAAATGTAGCTTTATTAATCAATTTCACAGCATTCTGAAATTATCAAATTATAAAGAAATTTAGTACCATTTCAGTTTCAGTTTGAAAACCAGTGATGGCATCTTTTTTTGTATCCTTCGTATAACAATAATAACAGATTTCTGGTAATATATACAAAATAAAATTAACAAACTACAAACTCATGTTAAAAAATCTGATTTTTAAAACAGTGTATCACATAAAATAATTTTAGGTCGATGATGTGCAAATACTATTCCCAAAAACTATATGCGAAAGCCCAAATAATCTTTCCGATAACAGGAGAAGAATAATAGGAGATGAGGAACTCGTAAAATGTAGACTTTTTGACAGAAATACCGGAAAATGCATCAAATGTAACTGTAGTTGCAACTTTCATATGTATTCGTATTATCTGAATGAATTTTACCGGAAAGATGCTTCGTTTACATTCAAAATCGAGAAAATAACTTCCAAAAAAGTTATTAAGGAGGAAGTGGATATACTGGTATTGAAAATTGACGAGAGAATAGCTAGCTTTAAGGAAGAACTGACCGACATAGCTATTGCTGCAGCTGAGTTTACTTTTTTCCTTAAGACAACTTCTGTAAGAGACTTCAATGATTCTTTCAGGGACTACATTAACTACTTAATTGCTCGGTAAGCTAGCTAAATACAATTAAGTAAACTTTATAAAACACTTTTTTATAGGGAGGATATGCAAAACATAAAACAAACCTCCGAAGTATCAAACTACTTACGAAAAACCTTGCAGCTCTACGACCAAGTTCTAACAGCGTACGAAAAAAACAACGTCTACAAACAAAAAAATTTACGGACTTTAAATGAAAGCGAACGTCTACTGGAAAGCGTCAATACCGTAATCAATAAAGTTTTTAACTTGGAGCTATGTGGACAATATTTAACCAAGTTGTTCAATATTCAAATCATGTCCAGAGAGAATGAGTTTAGGACTACCGTACATTACAAGAAGAATGTTGTAGAGACTCAGAAGATTCTGCAAAGATTTCCTTCAGGTATAGTTTAATATTCTAGATATCACTGTACACCAAACTACTTGATAATAATATACAGTACAGTATATATATAGCAAAAACTTATATATATAGTAAAAACTTATAGAACCTAAGAAGAAGAAAAAAGGTATTTTGGATCTCATCAGTGACGGGTAGCCGTGTGGTTTGGAACACCCGTCCACAAACCACGTCATGGACAGTAGATGGTGCTGATAACTCTACTACCGCTGTCGTTGATCTGACCGCCTACACTGTTTAAAATATCTGTGATGTAAAAAGTAATCTTAAAATGGTGTCAAAATCCAACACCAAGTGTTAATATAACACCATGAATTATGGTTGAAAATATTTTATACAGCAAACACCAAAACGGTGTTTATCTAAAAATATTTGAGAAGTGCACCTACACAGAAAAAAAGGAATAGTTAGTTCATTTAACTATATTAATTTAGTTGACCCATAAGTATTTATTTAAATCAACTGTGGGAAGATTAATATAAACAATTTGCCGTGCATTCCTGGTTACATAGTGTGTACCGATCGCGGCAAAGGCGGTGTGTATCACGTGATGTTCTTAAATCTCGCCTCTGTTGACTTACATGAAGAGTATATAAGCTCAGGTAGTCCTTTGCTTTGGTGTGACACTACAAGTTGTTCGATACTAAAGAGACCTTAAATAGGTGGAAACAGCTGTCAATACTTAGTAGTATTTTAAGTTGGTGAACGTACAAAAACATTATCTCTATCGAGTTGAAGGTTCAATTTTCTGGAATAATACCACTGGTAATATACTTGTAATACGTCAAGGAACTTCTTGTTTCCTTTTTTTCTGTGTAGTATGATTTAATTTGACCAAAACCACATTATATTTAACACCAGGTAAAATTTATTTTAATGCTGTGTAAAAGTTAAATTTACACCATTTTAGTATTTGAATTTACACCGGACCAACGAACCTTATTTAACACCATTTTGGTTTGTATCGATATAGACCATGTGTGGTGTTAATTTGGTGTTAAAATGGTCATGAAATTTTGAACAGTGTATAAAGCGGCCAAGGGCTTGTTGTACAGATTTGTTTCACATCACACGGCTACCCGCCACTGATGAGGTCCAATACTCCTAGTACTGGATATTTTTTTAATCTTTTTAATTTTAGAATCGTTGTTTATGAGTCACTCCAATACACCGAGTGATTACTACAAACCTTGGTGTGGTTCCCCGGTACCATATTTATCTGATAATAGTATAGAAGCGAAACATAACTTTATAAATCAACTACTAGACTTATCGATAGGTGAGCAGGTTATGGATGCATCAACTTCAAATGTTAGCTATCCTCAGGCCCCAACCAAAGAATCTGTTGCATCCCTAGCGACTGTAGGGGAAACTTACAATCTGGTAAAAAAATAATGTTTGTGGTATGGTTTATTTTTTGATGTTTTGTTTTAGAGAAGGATCCACACTTAATATTTTTAAAAATAAATATGACGATATTGTATTTTAACCATAATTTATTTGTACATAATATTTTATATTGACAAAATATATTTTAACAACTATATTAAACTTTTTGACTTTTTTTACTGTATTATAAGCAAGGACCGGATTTTAGGCAAAATGCCTTTTTGTTTCTATTTTAGGCATTTGTTTGGGACCTTGAAATTAATCCTAAACATAAAAAAATAAAGCGTTTGACATAAAAGCCTAAAATGGCGAAATTTTGATTTATTGACCTAAAAGGACATTTTTATGAGCCTAAAATAGGCTCTTTGAATTTTTCAGTAAAAAATACTTTGTTTTCATAGGTTTTACTGTAATTTCCATATATGTATATGGTAATTTCAGACTTTTTAATAGTTTTTAGTAATATAATTTGTCACCATCTATGGCATAATTAAATAACTATCCACAATTTACAGGTAGTAAATATATATACAGGGTGTTATGTAATTAATGTTATATATTAAAATACTGAATACCTTTTGACATAAGGAATAAAGGAAAAATATTTTAAATAGCATTTTTCCCAAGATAAAGAAAAAATATGCATTAGAAGTTTTTTATATTTTTTGTGATACGCCACTGGTTACACACTTGTTTATCTCTGCACACCTGTATTTTGTGAGTACATAGATACCAACCAACAAAGTAGCTATGCGTTGCCAGATGTAAAAAATTGTTACTAAAAATTTTTCTTGCAAAAAATAAATAAAAACTCAATAAATACAAAAGATTTATGCCCTTAAAGCTCTAATACCCTTCTGTATTTATTTACTGATCCAGCTATTAGCTTAAGCAATGATTAGAAAATTTAGTACCTTTGAAATTTGAAATCCATAACCACAAAATTAATTTTTTCATCAGTTTTTTTCTCTGTTTACTCAGATGAAATTGGGACCAGTTCACAGGTTAAACTTTAAACATTTAATTTGTGTAAATAAATCCAAAAGCACTTCCCTTTGTTAAGATATTTACAATTTGAAAACATAACCTAAAATTTAAAAGAAATGCACTAGATTATGTCATAAAAGTTTTGTTTGAATTTACCTTCAGTACAAAAATGAAATGACCAACAATTAATAAAAACGCCAAATTGACAATTTGCATTGTTAATTTTGTCATTTTTTTAATTAAGCTAAATTTAAACAATGTTTGTCAACTTTTTTGAGAGATTTTGGAAAAACTGTTGTTACCAACCATAACATAATAAATCCACCAGATTAACCTAAAGTTCCTAGTCGATCAGTGGCGTACTTTTTGGTAGGATAAAGGTTATTATAAATTATTTTTAGACTTTGGAATTTAGAAAAAAAAAGTTTCAGGTGCTTCTTTATGGACCCTAAGGAATAACCCATTTTAATATATAACATTAATTACATAACACCCTGTATATACATATATTAGGGTGGCCCAAAAAAAAAGAATATTTTTATTCTCTCGTCTCTTGTGAAAATATGTTGGTTTGTCATGTTTTAAGAGCCCTGTCAAAAGATCAGCCCCATTAAAAAATTTTTAGGGGTCGCTCAAGATTTTTAAAAATTTCCAAAATCGTCAAAAATTGGATTTTGATTTTTTTTTCTCGTTTCAAAATTATTTTTTAATTTAAAAATAATAATGATTCTAAAAATTTCAAATCGATATTTTGATTTCTAAAGGTCGCTAAAGATTTTTTTAACTTTCAAAGTAGAGTATTTTGAATGTTTTTGAGCGACCTCTGAATATAAATGTCAACAAACTTTCAGTTACCTTTAGAAATCAAAATATTGATTTGAAATTTACAGAATTTTTATTATTTTCAACCAAAAAAATAATATCGAGACGAGAAAAAAAATTAAAATAAAACAAAAATTCAATTTTTGACGATTTTGAAAATTTTAAAAAATCTTGAGCGACCCCTAAATTTTTTTTAATCGAGCTGATATTTTTACAGGGTTCTTACAGCATGATAAACTAACATATTTTTACAAGAGACGAGTAAAAAAAAATATTCTTTTTTTTTGGGCCACCCTAATATATATATATATATATATATTAGGGTGTGCCAAAAAAAATTCGATATTTTTTTTTCTTGCTCTCCACCCAAAATATCGTAGAATATGTCCGAACAAATATCCTGTTAAAAGCGGACCTCATATATGATAATTATAATTTCAATTTTAAGAGGTCCTTCATCGCTTAAATAGCACAGAAAACTGACTTTTTTACCTTATTTATTCTTGCTCTAGGAAGACATTTTTTTTTGATATAATCCATGACCAAATCTTACAAAGCATTAAATTTTGACGAAAAAATCTTATTAAGCCGAATTTCTATTTTCATTATTTGATTTTTTACAGAGCTTTAAATTTTAAATTTTACGTTTTTTGCCTTTTTCAGCTAAACTATTGAAGTTAGACGAAAAAGTCAAATGGCAATTTTTTAGCTTATCTGATGGACCAGAAAAAAGTTTTTGGCGAATTTTTTGTATCGTCAATATTCTAAAAGTTACAGTTATCATTTTTGTATTATTAACTTTAAATTTAAAGCTCTGTAAAAAATCAAATAATGAAAATAGAAATTCGGCTTAATAAGATTTTTTTGTCCAAATTTAATGCTTTGTAAGAATTAGTCATGGATTTTATGAAAAAAAAATTCTTCCTAGGTTGCAAGAATAAATAAGGTAAAAAAGTCAGTTTTCTGTGTTATTTAAGCGGCAAAACTTCAGATTCGATGAAGGACCTCTTAAAATTGAGTTTTTTTGGCACACCCTAATATATATATATATATATATATATATATTGACAAAAGATTTGCTTTAAATTACACAAGTAAGGTTTTCCTTTTCTTTGTTCATTGAGTTTTTGTTATTATTTTTATTATGTATTTTTTGTTTTATTTTTATTGATAGTACCTGAATAAATGTTATGTTTAATCGCGTTGTTTTTATTTTATATCGCCTAAAACGGCCTAAAATGTAGGTTTTTATTGCCTATTTACGTGTCCTAATTTCCAATTTTTAGGGGCCTAAAATCCGGTCTGATTATAAGCTTCTAAAAGATCCCAATTAATATTTTTTCATTCGATAAAAAAAACCTTAAAAATGCTTAAATATTTATTACAGTAGACTGGTCTCCAGCCTCAATACTTGAAAGTTCTCAGAACGTATTCAAGCTACTTAAGAGCTTTACGAAACTCCGTAAACTAGTCAATACCTTCATAGGTAGATGTAAGTAGAAACACAGCGTGTGTGGGTATTAAGTAAGGCTGGGAATCGATTACGAATAATTCGAATATTCGAATATTCGAGTATTCGAATAGGGGTGGAAATCGATTATAAATTATTCGAATACTCGAATATTCAAACATTCGAATACTCGAATATTTGAATACTCGAATATTCGAATACTCGAATATTTAAATACTCGCATATTTGAATACTCGAATATTAAAACACTTTAAATTAGTATATATAAGGGTGGTGCAAAAAAACTTTTTTCGAATATGTTAATTTGTCATTTTTATTAAAAAAAATTAACAGCTCTCTTCAAAAATTAGTCGGCTTTTGAATTTTGAAAATTCCAAAAATAATCAAATTCGAAAAAAGCGATATATGTAGTCGCTTCGTTTTGGACAGTAGCAAAAAGTAATCAGTAATTACTATATGTTTAATTGGTAAATTCTCATATAACTTGTTTCGATGCTGTATCCACTTATTTTTGTGAAAACTAATTCTCGCTCAAGGTTTTTTTTAGTGTAATGAGCATGTAGCATTTTAAGGTAATGGGAACTTAAATTATGACAACCCTAATCTATTAATTTTTTCCTAAAATGCAGGCTTTATGTTGCAAATGTCACGTAAGTTACCGGTCTTCAACTGCAATATCCTAACATTGATGAATATTTTAACAAAATGGCTGTTGAAACAACTAATGTTAGTGCTTGATTAACTAAAAATAGACTTAAGATTGACGAAAAATTATTTTATCCGGAATCGGCAGTAAAGTAGAACTTTACTGCCGATTTATTTTAATTTACGATTGTTGATTAATTGAAATATTTTAATATTCGAGTATTTAAAAATTCGATTATTTGAATATTTAAAAATGTACTCTATATTCGAATTATTCGAATGTACGAGGACATGAATCACAGATTATAAAGACATGAATATTCGAATTATTCGAATTTACGAGAACACGAATATTCGAATAATTCGAATACTCGAATATTCGAATAATTCGAATACACGAATATTCGAATAATTCGAATACTCGAATATTCGAATAATTCGAATATTCGAATAATTCGAGTATTTCAAATAATTTTTAAACGAGTATTCGAATTCCAAAAACTAACAAATTCCCAGCCTTAGTATTAAGAAGTTTATTAGGTTAACAGGCAAACTAAATTAAATGTACAGATGTTTAATTGAAATGATAATTGGGACAAACGGCTTTAGGCTTTTTCATTTCAAATCTTACAGGTAAAATGCAATATAAAAATTAAAATCTAAATATGAAAAAAAACGTTCTATTTGACTATTAAAATGCCTCAAAGTCTCAAAGACTAAATCAATTATAAAAGAATGAACTGGGAATGTTTTCCGCAAGGCAGGTAATAAAAATAAAATGCCACGCAGAAGGACCATTCCGTTCGGGGTAGTGATTACTATTTTCCTGCTACACTCAAAAGAAAAATTCTCGCTGTCCCCCATATTTTCCGTGTGAATGTCATAAATGGGCGCCAAATTACATGCGGTGCATTTCCTGCAGGAAACACAATACAGGAAGGAATTTCTAATGTGTCTTTGTTTCTGTTTATATTGTTTAGTTCTTATAATTATATTATATAAGTATATTATAGACCAGGCGGAAAAAGTACATATTATCGCCTAGCATACATTAATAAATGTGTGTTATTATTTATATTACTTCATGAATTTGATTTTTCAAATCTTTTAAATTTTGTGGTCTGTTGATGTACACGTAGAGAAATGTATAGTAAATTTTAGATTAGGGTGCTTTTTTTTTCACGACTATTTTTATTTTTTCGCTCCCAACTCAAAATCTTGTTGAAAATGTTCAAAAAAAAATTCCCTGAAAATTTGAGCACTTAATATTAACTCAAAG